ATGCTTTAAAGAATGCTTTTCCAGAATGCTTTTTTTTCTAAAGAGCTGAAGTAGGGCAAATTAGTAAAACCATATCTTAGTAGGAAAACCTTTTCAGTTCATGAAAAACTTGATTTAAGAATAGTATGAAAGGAAAATGATACACTATGAATGCTAAAAAATTAAGTCGCTGCAAAATGTTCTCTTTTTAAGCAGCTTTCAAATATAACTAGGATCCCCCAAATACCTTTGTAATCCCAGCTTTGCAGGTGAAGGTATAGGAGGCAGTACACACTGACATATTTCTGTTCTCTGCGCCAGCGTTTGGGTCACGACCCACGGGTTGACAAAAGTGGGTCCCAAGAAGATCTCAAAGGGTGGCGAGCCATGGGTTGAGAAATGCTGATCCTGGGAAAGTGGTGAGACTGCAGCAGGGCAAAGTGGCGGCGGGAAGGCACCTGCCCCTTCCAGCGGGGGAAGGGGATGGGGGAGAGCAGTGAAGCCAGGCAGGGTGCCCGGGAGATGCTGCTCAGGCAGTGGAAGGGGCCGTGACCAGGCTGCCTGGCGCAGTGCAGCAGCCCCAGCCCAGGGAAGGGGCTGCCACAGGCCTCCCCTCCTCTTTCCTCCAGCCCATGCTGGGGCTGGCCTTGCTCAGCTGCCACCCGCATGAGCTGCCACAACCATTGCACGCCAGCCCAAGTGGGACGGGGCAACTGGGGGCCTCTCCAGCAGGGCTGGGGGGTAGGGTCTGTGGGTTGGGAGTGAGGGACACCATCATGGCCCTGGGGGCAGGGGAGCAGGGCAGTGGGGACTGTGGGTCATGCACCGGTAGGGCCAGCAGGGTATGGGTCATTACAGGCCATGAACCTTTGCAAATGGGTCCCGGAAGGAAAAGCTGGAGAACTAGTGCTCTACACCATGGAATGTCTGGTTTAAAAGTGTGTATATACTCTGCGGCTAGGGACAAAAATTACACATAAACTGGTTTAAGTGATCAGAATTTGGTTTAAACCTGTAACAGAACCTAAGTTTACTGCACATAAATCAGTTTTGAAATGGCCGAAACTGGTTTAAGATAAGCCTGATTGAATGTAGTATCAGGCTTAACTGATTCGGGTCAAACTGGTTTATATAACTTCTGTCCCAGACCCCTTCCTGGTTGAAGTTAAATCAGAGTCCCCCAGTATCCCAGATGACTTGCAGCCCTGGGCCGTGCTGTGCTCTCTGCTGCAGAGAGCAGGGCTGGCCCTGCCCCTCTGCTCTTTAGCCTGAGCAGGAGGAGGGGCACAGCCGGGTCCGCTGAGGCAAAGGGAGGGGGTTTATTTCCCCCACACACACTCACACACACTGGGGACTGCAGCGCCCATCACCCATTCCCCCCTTCCCACTCCAGCGGCAGGGAAGGGAACGTGACCAGAGATGGCCAGCGTGGCCCCTGCCATCCATCTGCCTCACCAGTGGTTGGGGCTGCAGGGCTGAGCCCAGCTGGCCTATGAGCACTGCTGAAGGAGGTGGAGAGGCTAGCCCAGGCTGGGCCACAGGCGTCAGGCCCTTCCCAGAGGGCTGCAGCATGGGCTGAGGCCACAGGGACTGTGCGGCTCCCCATGCCCAAGCTGGGCAGGGCCCTCATGGAGCCCCAGCTGACTGGGAAGGGCCCTGTAGAGCTGGCCTGTGGGTGCAGGTGCCTTCCCAACCTGCTGGGGCCGCATGACAGCCTGGTCCGACAGCGTAGGCAGGGGCTGGCTAGGGAGTGGGCTTCCTGGGCCAGCTTGGAGGTGCTAGCAAGCCCCAAGCCTGGCAGCAACCAGTGTACCCCCTGCCCTGTGCAGCACCCGGGGCTGTAGGCACACAATCAGCTGCGGGCTGGCCCAGGCTAGGGAGGCTGTTCTGCCCCCCTCACCTCCAGCTGCTGCTGCCATAACCACGCCATGCTGCTCTGGGTGGGGGGTGGGAAGCTTCAGCCCTGCAGCTTCTGCTCAGCACATTGATCTCTGGCTCCAGCCCCCAGCGGCCTTGGAAAGTGGCAGGCGTCTGGGAGATGCAGTTGGAGCTCCACGTGCTGGGCAGAAGCCGCCGGGCCTGGCAGGTCTATTTTTCCCCCCTCACCTCCAGCTGTGGCTCCTGCTTCTGTCACACTGTGCAGCACCACTCAGGGCAGGGGAGCTTACTTCACCCCAGCTGCTTCAATCTGAGCTGGGCAGAGATGGCCTGGCTGAAGGAAGCTCCCCTGCCTCAAGTGGCACTGTGTGGTGTGACACGAACAGGAGCCACACCTGCAGATGCGGGGAGAAAAATGGCTCTGCCAGGCCCAGTGGCTTCTGCCCAGTGCGTGAAGTCCCATCTGCAGCTCCTGGATGCCTTTCACTCGGACTCCTTCCACTTTCCAAGGCAGAAGCTGGAGCCAGAGCTCCACGCACTGGGCAGAAGCAGCGGAGCTGAAGTTTCCTGCCCCCCCATCCAGAGTGGCATTGTGTTAACCTGGGTACACTCAAAGGTATGTCCAATAGTCAACACTACTTTTTCTCCTCAGGGATTTGCCACATTAACAAGGTCTCCTGGATATGGGCTTGCCAAGCATCAAAGTCCTCTTCTCCAAGGGGAATGGGGATACTTCCCGAAAAATTCCGCAGTCTTTTATCAACGGCCCTATCCTTTGGGGATTCTGCTACATCTGAGGACCTGCCGTAGGAGTAGAGACCCAATCCGGAGGAGGCAGCGTCCCTGACCCTGAGGCTCCTGGGGCACTAGTGCCCACTGAAGCCCAGGAACCACTAGGGTCCGATATATCTCTAGGGTGGGACCTCTATAGAGAAGCACAGAGCCTATAGCAGCAAATCGCCTGCCCCAAATCCCAGACAAGCCCCCAAAATGTAACCTGGGTATGCCCAAGGATGTGCCCTATTCTCAACAGGATGGGATGGATAGGCGGGAGGGGGTGCCATGAGAGAGATGCCAGAATCTCAAGTAGATCCCTCTTTCCTCTATAGAGTTAGCCCAAGCCCAAAGTTCTTAACTATATACAATTTATTGAGTTATAATATACATAAACATGAGACTAAATATCACATACATATATTTACACAGTGAACATTAACCAATAACCAATGTCAAACCCTAAATAACACTATTTACAACATCAGAATACAACATTTCAATCGCAAAATTAAGGCGCAAACATGAACAATCTTAATAACATCTATTCCTTAATATAGTCCCCGACCCATGGCAAGAGATAGTCCTCCTTCCAATGGGGTTCCGGGGGGGGGCATGTCCAGGAAGCACCAAAGGGCCCTCCCCTTAAAGCCTTGAATGAGGGGGGCAGGGCTGCTCACCCAGCCCCTTCTCTGGGTTTGCCCACCCCAGATGTCTTTCCCCTGTGGGACCGAAGGGCCCAGTGACTCACGCTCCCTCAGGTGGTGGTGGTCAGGGCTCAGCTCAATGGGGTCTCCTCTGCTGCAACACCTCTCCAGGCTGCTCCAGGCACCTCTGCTCTGCCACTGGGCTCCTCTCCACCCTGTGCCCCTCTTTGGGCACCGAGGGCTCAGCTCCTCTCAGCTGCTACATCACTGCTACTGGCTCCTGGGTGCTGAGCCTCACACTGCAGCACTACCATTTCCCCGTGCCCTGGCTTGGCACCGAGGGCTCTCTTAGCACAGGCCAGGCCCTTCAGGCTCTGGCCGGCCATCCTCACACCAGGTGGCTCACCCAAGCAGGCTCCGCTGCTCCCTGGATCCCAAGGCTCAGGCCTGTGCACCACCCTGTGCACTGTGGGACCTGGCCACTTGCTGGGAGATGAGGTCTGAGCCACCTCACTGCAGCCCCAAGGCCCTGCTGGGGTTGCAGGCTCAAGCCGCTGTTTGCGGCTCCCAAAGCCTGGGCTCTGTGCACCGAACTGTGCACCATGATGGGCCCAAGCAGTCTCACGCTGCTCCCAGGGCCGGGTCTCCACACACCATCCCTGTATGCTGTCAGCAGCCCAAGCAGTCTCGTATGACTCCCAAGGCTGCTCCTCCAGTGGCAGCTTCAGGAGCCTTGGGCCTATTTTCCGCTGAAGAAAAACACCACAGTTTTTCTTTGCTCCACTCATCTTGAGTCCCTCGCAACATCTCCCCTCGTGCTGGGCACGCAGCTCCTTTTATGCGCTCCAGGGCTCCGCCCCTGAAGTCTTCTGGACCTGACAGTTTACAGTCTTCAGTCAGGTCCAGAAGAGCTCTTCTCCCCCTCCCCTCAGGAAAGGGGCATGACTCAATTTCTCCTGGTGCCTCCTGATTGGTGGATAGGCTCCACCAATCAAAACAGCGGGATCTGAAGCTTGGGACTCAACCCAAGCTCTGAAAGGTGAGCCTGCTACAGTGTGGTTGTGGCAGCCGGAGATGAGGAGGGCAGAGCAGCCACTCCCGGCGCTGGCCAGCCCGCAGCTGGTTGTGCACCTGCAGCCCCTGGTGCTGCACAAGGCAGGAAGTGTGGTGGCAGCTACCGAGCTCGGGGCCCTCTAGTACTTCTGTGCTGGCCCAGGAAGCCTGTTCCCCAGCCAGGTCCTAAGCATGCTACTGGGCTGGGCTACCATACCGCCCCAGTGGGTTGGGAGGGGCCCTTCTCAGCTGGCTTGGGCATGGGGAGCCATGAGCAATCTGGCCATACAGACCCAGCCTGGGCTGCCCCTCTGCCTCCACCCTTAGCAACACCTGCAGGCTTGCTGGGCTCAGCTCCACAGCCCCAGTTGCAGGCCCAGCCCTGGGTAGATAGCAGGGCTATGCCGGCCAGCTCTGGCCAGGCCCCCACCACCTGAGCAAGAGCAGGAGGGAAAGCTGGGCAGACCCCAACTGGGGTCCTGTGCCCACCTACAGACAGGAGAGTTTAATCCCCACCCCCTGCTCCCTCTTTGCCTGAGGTGCTGCCCCAGCCAGTGTCTGGCCTCAGGGACAAGCCTAGCAAGAGCTGCTTCCTTCTTACTCCTCCAGGCACAGCCTGGCTAGGGTCCCTACAGGCCTCGGTGGGGGTTTAAATCCCTCCACACTCAACCTGCAAAGATTGAATCAGTTCAGGCTCCAGCTTTTTGAATGTCTGTCCCTAGCCTCTTAGAGGAACATGATTGTTGTAAAGGTTGAATGCATTTGGGTGGAAGCTGTAAGCTATTTTCCTTCTGAGTTGGCTGAATATATACTTCAGTCATCATTAATTGACAGTGAGGGCACCTGTCAAAGAGAAAATAGATACAGCAGAGGCAGACAAATACATGGATATGTATTTGTAGTAGTGGAACTTTAGTTTTGGTTTATTTGGTTGGGTTTTTTTTTAAATCTCAGTGTAGATATTCAGTATTGTCCATATACTTGGTTAAGGCTTAAAAATTTCACATTTAGATCAGTGCAACCAACTCTTTATTAAAAAAAAAAACCATTTTGAGGGAGAAATAAAATAAATAACAATATACTCACGTTAACTGAAAAGTGTTCTACCAAAGACTGATACTATCATAGTCCAAGAGATGTGCAGAAATGTCCTAAAATGATGGTCTACCATACATGTCTTTGTCCCTAGAAAAAAAATAGGTAAAATTGACTTAATCATTTTGAATGCCCTTGGCAATTTATAAAATGAAATGCTTTATCACTGAAAGATGTGTTGCTCCATCTAACTATATTGGTACATATAAACTGCTGGATTAATTTTGCCTGAGGACTATTGAGAACAGAATGAGGGTTCAGCTGAAGTCTATTAGTTCCTGCTATTGCAAGGTCATGATTTTATTTATTTCATAAATTTTTAGCTTAATCTTAATGTAGCAATTATTTGCGTCTCTTGGGTGGGGTGGAGTTTCCCCAGCTGTGCAGTGGGGTGACAGTGCTGGCATTTCCCCTATGAGCAAAATTTGGTGAAGGAAAAAACAAACAAACAATTGTCACATTTTAAAAGTGAATGCTTTCAAAACAAAACTACTGAGCTGTTTTCTCACAGGCTTTCTCCAGGGCCGGGGGGTGGAGGAAAGGCTCAAGGCTGTAATAAATTCATGAAATGCCTGATATGTATTTTGAGTTCATTGTTGCCTGACCAGTAGATATCTACGGCTTACCGAAACAGAATGCTAGAGAACGTGCAAATAAGCATTCAAAAAAGAAGAGGGCTGCAACATTTTGCAAGAAAATGTGTGAAATGTAAGGCTACCTGTAGCAGCAGTAGCTTGACCTGTGGGTGTTTTATATGGCTATTTAATTGTATGTTGCACAATACAAAATGAGCACAAATTATGAGAATAACCACCACAGCTACGCAAATGCTGCTGGTTCTGAGAAAGAGGGGAGGGGGGCTTATTTGGGAAACAGATGCTTGACTAATAATACCATAGACTTCATGTGCACCATTTTAAAGGCTATACTTAGATTACTTGGATCTCTTATAGAAAGGAAAGAAATATTCTAGTTTTCATATACTTATCATAAGAAAAAACCTAAAGTATTTTAAAGAATACTTTCCTTCTGTTGTTTTTTTTTGAGTTGCAAAACTAACATTCAATAATGAAATGAAAACAAGCTGAAGAGCTATATTTCATGAAGGAGGCAAGCGCTAGTTACAGACAGCTGGAGCGTGTCTGGGCTGGTGTCTATGTTCTTTTCTTTCTGCAAGTTCAGTGCTGCTCCAAGAATGTAGACAATGCTGGCTACGACTGTTTCATATTTGATTTCCACACTTGAATCTGTGCTTGTTAAATGAAATCCCACTGTCAGGTCGGCACGCTTCCTTGCTGTTCCTTTAGGCTATATTATTTCTAACCGATCTTCTGTATTTGGGTGCCATGCACAGGTACTGCTAATGATCTGGAGCAGCACTGAGTGAGGTACGGGGTGGCAGGACTGTTTTGTCATAACTGAGCTCATTGTATTGGTTTGGCATTGCACCTTTCAAATTTTCTTTTTCAGCCTCATCCATGGATAAAGGTCTCATAACTCCTTGAGGGTGGATTCAGAAATGCAGGTTTTGGATGGGATTTTGGACCTGTCTTGAGACTGCTGGATTACTTAGGTGTTTGGTTGTGTCTAGTCTCCATGAAAAATACTGACTATGTGCTTGGGAGAGAATTTTTGGGCAATTGAGTCTTGATTCTGCCAAGGGCTTAGCTCTCTAGTCATGGTGCAGCAAAATGCTCACCCTTGCAAATAGTCCTCCTGTCTTTCCTGGGACCATTCATGTGCTTAGATTTAAGCATGTGCTTAAATTGCTGGTTTGGGGCCAGGTTGCTCAGCTTTTACAGGAAGCTCTTGGTGAAGTAGTTTCATAGTTTCTAGGGTTGGAAGGGACCTGAGCAGATCATCTAGTCCGACCCCCTGCCATGGCAGGAAAGAGTGCTGGGGTCCTTTGTTCATCTAACCTCCTCTTAAAAACCCCCAGGGTAGGAGCCTGCACCACTTCTCTTGGAAGTTGGTTCCAGACCCTAGCCACCCTGACCCTGAAATAGCGCTTCCTGATATCTAACCTAAACCTACCCTCTGCCAGCTTGTGACCGT